CAAACGGGAGAAGTTGCACCAACACTCATCTGAACGCATCATCTCATATGTCGACAATCTCCTGACAAAACCCCATTCATACAATTCATAAATGACACTCTTCCTACATCCAACATAGTTTTCTACTGTATAGTTTTCCTATGTTTTCTTCTAACCCACACCCTCATTCTCTTCGTGAAGCCCGAACGCTTCCGACAAAACAAACAATCGCCGTCCCACACGTCCAAGATGATCAAAAACAGGAGCCCTTCCACCACCCACCTGTCCGACCCGTCCGACCCGTCACCCCGACCGGCCGTGGAACCGGAATGATTTCGGGCAATCCGGAGCTTGGAGGTGCAAACTTCTTGGGCACCACGACGATGATCTCGAAGGAACCCAGCCGAGGGTAGCGCACCTTCTCACCTCCAAGCTGGGATCTTTGGATTACTTTCCGTCTCACCGGGATTGGTAATGTTGACTCTTGATTTAGAAACTCCCCCCCCCCCTCAACAGCCAAGGCCTCCAATATAATGTATAAGAAAATCAATCAATTGATAATTAAATAAGGAATCCTTAGCTAGCTACCTCTGGAGCTACTCTGGCAATATTAAAATAAAAGGAATCAAGAAACCTAACTTTGAAGACATCTGGAATATTAATTACAATAAAAGGGAATGAATCAATGCAAATAGAACTAACTTTTGAAATTTCAATGGAAATCTGAATCCAAAGACTTGCAATTTCAATGGTAAGTAAAGCAAATCACAAGGCAAAGAAAAGGAATAAAGATTTAAAGCCTCAAATCTCTAGACATTATTCTACGGCCCCCCCTGCTTGCTGGACTACCCCCTTTGCTTGAATGATTGTTTTGTTTTTCAATACTTTTGAATAAGGGATGTTATAAAGAAAGTGCGCACTGACTTTTGGAAACTTTTGGAAAGCTTCAAAACTAAAGAGCTTAGGAAAAGTTAATAAGGAATAAAGGGTGAGTAAAGCAAATCAAAAGGGAAAAAGTAAACTATAACAAAAAAAATATTCCACTACAACTACCCCTCCCAAAAAGAAATGACATTATTCTGGGGGCCTTTATAAATCTGTGCAGGAAAAAACGTGTCATTATCCTAGGGTCGTTTATAAATCAGAGGACCACATTAGCTGAGGTCTAAGGTCTAGAATAATGCATCAATGATGGACATTTTTTTGTATAATTATTCCTTCGAGACGTTGTTCGGGCTGCAGTCTTTACAGTGTTAGCCTGGTGAATGATGTTTTGCTGCGGGGCCGATTTGCAAGCAAACACCCACACACGGATGATGCAAAATGAACCTATTGGTAAGAAAAAGCGGCTTGGCCCCCCCACAAATACATGCAACTACGAAGGAAGAGGTGTCTTCAAAAAGGCACACCTTTCAAGTATCCAAATGTCAGAAGTGCTATATGTTTTGCATTATGTAGAGAGTCCTTCGAATAATGCTTATGCCTTCACGTGGAAATACTTGCACCCAAATGATCCCAAATGCATGATTTTTAGATACAGTAATTGGATGTAATTGGTGCCTTCTGTGGTTGCCCCTTTTGTTTACGAATGTGTTAGGCAGCTGCAGCGTTAGATAGAAAAGAATAGCTCCAAGTGAACATGTACGCGCCCAAATGTAGGAAATTGATGCAACTTTCTACGTGACACCTTCTTGCATTCGTAAACATGTTGAAATGCAAGGAGAGTCAAACAAAAACGACGTTTAGTTGAAGCAGGCCCGCGACAGCCATGCCGGCCTTTGGTGGTGGTGAACCAACCTCTGCAGTTCCAATATGGCGAGCAACCAGTGGGAGGCCCTGGGTTTGTAAAGACCTTGTGCCGGATGGCTTTCTCCTGCGGCACTCACAGTTTGACAACCACACCATATGAACAAACACAGCTTTGTATTTATATATGTTATATATATATATATAGATAGTCCTTTTGTGTCATCGACATGTGATTGGTTTCCACGGGGACCCTGAACAACCCTGCGCACAACATCGCGCAGCCTCTGCACTGTGCACGGTCCGGGTGAGTAGCAAATTGCTCAAGCTGGTTTTGAGAGTTGCTCGCAAAAAGAAGGAGTTGATCAAATCAAGCACCAAAGCCAAGTGACAGTCGTTTGGGCTGGCTGATTCTCTGAAGCAAGCCCGAACTAGTCAAATGACCTTCACATGTCCTGGTTTCGTTCGCATGAGGGAGTGCAAGTCGTTCCCCATCCAGCATTGTTTTGCTCTACTGTGCTCGCCCTCCGCGTGAATTATCTGTGTTCGGTTCACGAATGCCCCGTCCTCCAGGTGCATGTTCATCTGCCTCTCCACCTCTTTTGCATACTCCAAATATCTTTTGGCCTCAGCTGGTTCTGACATGGCCTCCAGCATTGCCCAGGGCAGTGAGAATTGGGAGTCGCTCCCAGCTCCAAGGACTGCTCCAAGGCTATATGGGTGCTTCGTGGGGTAAAGGCCTGTTGCTGGTCCGCCAGGGCTGTGGATATAGCTGGTTGTCTCACCACTGTGTCACAGTGATGACCTGGTAAATCCTTCTTGGTCCTCGTGGGTGGGGGGAACCAACCAAGTCCGACTAAATCATTCCCTAGGTGGAGTCCCCGTTCGCCAAACCGAGCCAGCATCGCCTCCCACCACGAAGTCTAGAAAGTTCATGATCTCTGCAGGATGGGGGGGCCGTGATAGCTAAGGTGAGAGTGCGCATATGCTGGATTCTTCTGGGGCAGGAGGGCAGGATCTTCCTCACCCTCTCAGCAACCCCAGGCCCCGCCTAACTCCGCCAAGTGGCACTGTAGGTCGTATGAAATGAATTCTCATCATGATGCTCGATCTCTATTCTGATATTCGACATGGACACCGGACGCCACCGTTTCGGGCAGTCCGGAGCCTGAAAGCGCGTGTACCCTTTTGAGCCGACAAATGTTTTCAAGGCACAGGTCGCCAATGGCACCTGACGATTCCAAGCAAAAGTGAAAACAAACCTGACTCTTCAATCTGGCTCGTCGGAGGACAAAAGGGCGGCCTTCCCGCACCAAGAAGTCTTGGTGCGAACGTTGGGAGCACGCAACATCCATCTTCTGGAGGCAGGACGCTACTAGTAGCGCCTGGCCTTACTAGGGCATCGTTACTAGTAACAAAGGGCATTACTACTAGTAGCATTCTTCATTTTGCATAACAAACTGGGCGTTTCCACTCCCATGGAGGATTTGGAGGAAGGGTGATCACGAGTTACCCTGAAATGGAACATGGCCCCGAAAGGATGACGAAATCCTCATGCCGCTGCAGGCTCAAGTGGTGCCACCCACTCATGACCTTCCTGAGGAACATTGTTTCTGCTATGACTCCGCTGTGCTTCGGGTCTCTTTGAGACGCAAGGGTCGAATTTCAGATATTTCAGCATTCTTCAAATGCTGTTTTCGCACCACAGCGGTGGCCCCAAACGTCCGAATTGCACGACTTTTTGGGCTGTTGAAGTAGACGGAATGGTGGCGGTGGGGAGTTCCTCACGGCCAGAGAGAAACATAGCGACGTGACGTCGCACCGCGACGACGCAGTTCCGCTGGCCGAAGACGTCCTCATGGCCTCAGCGGCCCTGGTTCTGCCAGTACTCGTGCTGCTCCTGGCGCTTCTGACGTCCGAGCTCATCCGCTGGATATTGCAGCTTCCGTCGAGTCTTCCTGCCTCGGTAACGTGCCTCGACAGGGGATGGGCATCTGCCTCATGGGTCACAAACTTCAAGACAAACCACCCAAAATGGGGATTGTGCCATCTACTCTCAATACTCTCAATCCACTATATAACATTTCTCTCTCCCTCTCTCTCCTTTTGGGTGCCTCTTCCAGTTTCTTCTGTAATTGGCCCATCCAGGCCCAGCCATCGTGCAGCCGGTGCTCATCCGCTTGAAACTCCTGCAAAAACCCTTTCAAAGGCCACTGATAGGGATCCTAATCGGTGAAACTCCAGAGATGTCAGGGCTCTCAGCACAGCATCCTAATTGATGAAACACATCTTTCAACAACAACAACAACAACAACAACAACAGCCACTGCCACACCACACAAACCCGGTCTGCGCCGTGGTCTGCGCCATCCTCCAGGACCTTCTGCCGGAGCTCTCTGGCCCGTGTGCCATCCGCTGGGTCCCGACTGAACGCACGCAGCACCACGTTCCACGGCGACCGCAGCGAGGACCACGCAGCCGTCGAAGTAGTGATGCGACGCAGCGCAGCCATGGTGCAGCTGTGGAGAAACTGAGGTATTCGGGCAACAACTGAGCTGATAAAACTTATACTATATATATATTATATTCTATTATATTCTTCAGCACCAAAAATGCGTGGGTGGTGATGAAAGCCTTGAATTGGAAACATGGCTTTGGGATGCTTTGGGAGCTCCTGGTGGTACATGCATGTCATAAGTGGTTGAGGGTTCAAAACCAACCCATTGATGACCGCTGACGAGTTGACGTAGATTTGTGCGAATCTCTTGGGTATGTTTGGGGCCGAATGGAAAATTAAACATATGTATATAATGGTATATACTGGAAACAAGGTCCTTATTCACCACCTCAAATGCAGGTTGCAAGTCCAACCAAAACGTTCGTTCACTGGCCGGAGCTGGCTGTATAATGCCAACAGCTTGAGCTGAACAAAAACCGAAGGCGCGGCCCGTTTGACGCTTCTTTTTTCAGCCTCTTCTTCACTGGTGGGCCGACCAAAGGTTCAATCAAGGTCACCTAAAGTAAACGGTGAGTGGAGGGTTTAAGTGAGAATCCTGGAGATGTGAGCCCCCTTCAGGGCTGCAAATCCCCTTCAGATCCTTGGCAAACGGCGTGAACTCTCTGCCGCTTGGAGAGGGCCATGGCAGGCTCAAGCCTACAAATGTTCATTTGGGCATCTTCCACCGAGCGATGGCGGCCTCCAACCTCAGAGTGATAGCCTCCACCCACTTTTGCCCCAAATCGACGCTTGGATCCCCGAAATCGGGTCTCGGCTCCTCGGGGACCTCCTGGGCCACCGGGATTTCGCCACGTGCCTCGCGAGGCGGGGCCAGGGTGGATGAAGAGAACAAGACCGACCATTCAGTCCCAAGTGCAACGGAACAGAGGACTCTGCTCAGGGGGAAGGGTGTTGAGTTCAGGGAAAGGGTGGTGACTCTGCTCATTGCTCTTTAGAAGCAATGCTTAGGGAAAGGCTGTTGAGTTCACCTGCTCAGACTCTGCAGATTTCATTTGGAAACCAATGTTCCCGGGAGACGAGTCCCGGCAATGCCCACCCACTAGCAAAGGAAGATTATTCTTCCACAAATGTAAAGCTAGTGTTCCATAGCTCACGCTCCACAGAACTCATGCTCCACACGCTCGCCAACGTAAATTAAATTGCCATGTCTCATCGCTATGTGCAGATATATGCAGCATGCAACAGCTTCCTCACAGCCCGCATTGCCTGGTGGTAGGTATGTTCAAGAGACGGTATCTGAAAGTTCTGGGTGGAAGGAAATAGGTAAGATGATCTTACCATGCGTCTATACGGTCACTACTATTACTATACTCCTGAACATCACCCGCCCATGGAAAACCAGCTCGGACATCCCGAACATCCCGGACGGCACCTTGAGAGCATAGAAGGCATTGGACCTGCGTGACGGGCGAAAAACGTCATTCATTTAAGACATTGGAGCCACAGGCCTTGAGTTTCTCAAGAAACGTGAGGTTCGACGCGGGCGCCATGGAACGAACGCGAGGAAGAAGACCGGAAAGGGGCACTGTGAAGGGATGGGGATGGGACAACTTGTCCGAACACTTGGGGGCGAGGAATGCCTAAATAGTGGTGTCAGGTCGTGTTACCAGTACTTGGAGGTGGTTTGCCAAAGCCATATCTGCCATGAAACCAAATCAACTCGCATATCTGGACCATCTCAATTTATAGGTACCATAGCAATTTGATCTGATCTTCTGGCAGCTTGGATCAATACCAGTTGGGCGGATCGTGAAGAATCCCTATTCATTCCCTCCTCGTCGCGGCCCTGAAAGAACTGCAGGCGCATGGATGAACTTCGCGTAATTCTAGTGACTCCAAAACGGGTCACTGTCAAGAGGCCGATGTTGTTTGGGTTGACGTCACTTGGAAGATCGTGCGGAGAGGCTCCGCCACGATGTATGGATGGTGAAACATGGTTGACCCTGCAGTGGCCGGGTGGCAAACACGGGAGCCTGGCCAACCAATGACCCTAACCCCTCTCTTATATGTTTGTTTGCTTCAGCAATTCATCATCCTATCTCAAGTCAACAAGGGTCCTGCAGTAAAATGTTTCCATATATTTCCCTCACTATTCCCAAGTAGCTTTTGAACGAATTTGCTTGCCAAAAAAATATCAAACACATAATTAATACCTTTGGCAAAAAAGTGCTGAACCGCGAGTTCAGAACTCCACTCCTGTCCATCGTCGCCTAAGGTAGTGGTCTGGCATGCTGGGCCTTGGAGACGGGGGATCTGCATCCAGGGTGCATCCGTCCGGTTCGAGGGCCAAGTTCAATCGAAACAATATGGGGCCATCCAATTCCCCTCCATTGATTCTGCGAGTAAAGAAGTGTACCAAGCACTCTTGAAAACCCCCCACACAAAACAAACCATTAACTTGGCGATGTTTGGCTCAAGAAAGAAAAGGTCCGAGTGAATTGCACTCACATGGGTTATGAGCCCAAGTTAGGTGGAAGTCCACCCTGAGGTTCTCAGGTTGATGGCCGCCATGGACCGCAGGCGAGCGTCTTCGAAAGCTCGGAGGCAGACGGCGGATCAGCAGCTGGATCAGCTGCTAGAGGAGCACAGGGCGAAGTCCGCCCCACCGAGGAGAGCATCATCCTTGGAGCCGAGCACGAGCATGGCACCAGCCTTGAAGAGGACGGCTGCAACACCCAAGCAGACTCCGGTGCCACCAAGGGCCCTGGAGACGGTGCAGGTGCCGATCTTTCCGGATGTTCCTCCGCTTCCCGCCGGTGCAGGTCTGTTACCTCTTCCTCCTGGAGCTAATGGCAATGGTGGAGGTCTTGGATCGGGAGCGGCAGCCTTGCTTCATCAGGCCCGTGAGGCCTTTGGTGGGTTGGGCCTTCGTGCAACTCCATTCCCTGGGAATGCCTTGGGGAGTGGCAGCCAAGCACAAATGCCGGTGCTACCTATGGTGACAATATGGCGGCCATCAGCATCATCCAGAACCCCGATGGTCCATGGAGAACGCGGCATCTGAGGCTGCGTGCAAGTGTTCTCAAAGAACGCCTTCGAGAAGGGTCATGGCGCATCTTTCACCTGGACGGCAAACGCCTCATCGCGGACGTGTTCACCAAGGCGATCGTGGACAAGAACGTTTGGAGTTGGTTCCGGCGCTTTGTTCACTTTCAGGCTCCAGAGAGGGGAACGCGCGGGACGGAGGACGTGGCGGAGGTGACGGACGAAGGAGAAGAACAAAGTGGAGATGGTGGACGCTGTGACCAAAGTGGCGAAGCTGGCACTTTGTATGGCTGGTTGCGTTGCCGCTACGTGTTTGCCGACAACAACGAGGGTGGCTTTGGTGGCATCTTTGGCGATTGGCATGGCCTACGTAGTGAAGAGTAGTGGGGTTTTCGCGGGGAGCCAGGGACCGGGGGAGTGTTCATCTTTTTCCGACAGGGGAATTCAACATGAATTGAAGTCACTTGAACACTCCTCACAACCTCCACCTCGCCTGTGTGCCCTGCGGCGAACGCCGTCACGGGAACAAAAAGACCATGAAGGGTCGCAACAACGGACCAGACAAGAAAACACAAGAAATGAACAAGAGGCCATGAATTCCAATGCGTCGGGCCGCACGCAAAACTCTTGGGATGTCGTCTCGGAAGCAACAAACCCAAGGGACCCAAACAGTAGCCTAGAGGCTCCCAGTTCAACTACCTTCGAGGTGGAAGCGTCCAGTGCTAGCCATGGCGTGTGGGGCCGCATCCAAATGCGGCTTCCAGCGGTCTTTCGAGGTGGCCGCGAGTGGTTGGGTCAAGATGAACCAGACAGGTGCACTACACGACCTCGCAGGCGACCCAGGCAGCGATGGATGAGGGCACGTATGACGTGACGAGGCCGCCCATCTTGGTCACCAGCGAAGGCATGAGGGTACTACGCCCTGAAGAGGTGGACACGGAGACACAAACCATCCGCCTCATCCCGAATGCCAGGTTTTTGGAGGGGTCATCGGCAGCGAAAGCACCGCAACCACCGGTGCCTACACAACGGGGCTATGGAAGTGGGGCTTCATCGAGTGCATCTTCGAGGCCAAGTCAGGCGGCAGCGCGGGGGCAAGCGGCGCGGACGGCTTCGAAGGCAGCGGGATCCTTCATGCAAGGGGTCTCCAAATCGGGCTCCGTGGCGACGGGGCGTCCAATGGCTCCACCTACTATGGAGAGGCGGCAACAAGCTGCTGCAGATCGGCCTTGGAACAGGCCAGGCAAGGCTCCACCGACCATGCTGATGCGGCCTACGGGAGGCATGATGGATGACCAGGTGGAGTTTCAGGATTCCGTCTTCTGGCCAATCGCTGTCGATCTGAACTCTACGGTGCCAATCCGCCTGGCCCTTCCAAGCCAGAGTGACCCTCATGAACTCCAGGTCCGTGATCTCTTCGGGGCAGCTTCTGTGTTCCGGGTGGAACCTTTGCACTCGTGAGCTGCCATGATACCTGATGAGCCAGCGGACGCCATCCATGTCGATGTAGTCCCACTTGTCGCTCTTGTGGACCGGCTTGTAGAAGAGAGCCTCTTCCTCGACGACATCCTGCACGGCGTCCAACACCTGCGGAGTCGACGGAGTGAAATCTCCGGACCGGCCGCTTGGGTCGGGTACTCGCTGTTTTTGATCCGCTCCGGTCCACGGAGCATGTGAAGTTCAAAGCGGCATAGAATGCCGGGGGGAGCGAGTAAAGAAGTGTACCAAGCACTCTTGAAAACCCCCCACACACAAAACAAGCCATTAACTTGGCGATGTTTGGCTCAAGAAAGAAAAGGTCCGAGTGAATTGCACTCACATGGATTCCAACCCCACTTTGAACCACCTACAGTGCTATGTAGCTTGGGTATCGGACTCCGGACCCCCCAAGGTTCTGGCACGACCGCCGAAGCCGCATTCTCCTGCCGTGTTCGTGCTCGGTTCCCTGGCTGCAAAGCATCAGCATTCTGCACGAGCCAGTTCATGACCCCATCCACGGTCAAGGCCTCGAAGAAGCGCAGTGAGACATGTGAGACCGATGCGATGGAGACGGCTCGACTCAATTAACGTGGAGCATGGATGAGCGTGGATGAGCATGGTGTGGGGTGCACATTTCAGGATCTGACATGTTCCGTCACTCCGCAGTGTTCATGTCATTTCATGTCCACTTGGTCTAGTTGTGGGGCTGCGGCTACATGCCCCCAATCTATAGATAGAAAGGTGCATCACTAGGTGGATCCACTCTCGCAATGCTGCCTGGACATCGTGACACGATCTACTCAGTATACGGGATTAAAGGTAGGGCACCATTGAACAAATTGAACATGTTGATGATGGGGAATTCCATTGTGTCAGGTCATTAAAGGCTTGGAAGTCGCTCGTTTCCGGTCTGCACCGTTGCCGACTTTCTGACTTGTCTGGACCAAGGGACTTTCCCCAATTCGAAGGGGCCACTGTAACAGTGGGGCGCGCAGGTTAGGTACTGTCAACAATATTAGTCACATCAGGTGACTGGAAAACTGTTAATCTGCAAGGGGGGGCCCGATGTGACGGGGTCACATCAGGGTCACATCAGGTTCCTGTTTACAAGGCGCTTTAGTGATTGAAACATGTTTTGGGTTTAAACGAAATTATTCCATTTCCTTTGCGGAAGCAGCAGCAGTAGGCATTTACACCAGCAGCACACCAGCAGCAGCAGCAGCAGCAGCAGCAGCTACCACCACCACCACCACCACCACCACCACCAACAACACAACAACAACAACAACAACAACAACAGCAGGAGCTAACAAGCAGCAGCAGCAGCAGCAGCAGTTAACAAGCAGCAAACAAGCAGCAAGCCAGGAGCAAACCAGCAGCAAACCAGCAGCAAACAAGCAGCAAGCCAGCAGCAAGCCAGCAGCAAACAAGCAGCAAACAAGCAGCAAACCAGCAGCACACCAGCAGCAAGCCAGCAGCAAGTCAGCAGCAAACCAGCAGCAAACAAGCAGCAGCAGCACAAGCAGCACAAGCAGCACAAGCAGCAGCAGCAGCAGCCACCACCACCACCACCACAACAACAGCAATAGCAGCAGCCAGGTGTTTCTTCTCAGGTGTGACAATCATGTCACAGTCACCACTGCCCTGCGCCATTGGTGCCGAAGGAAGCAGCAAGGAGCTCTAGCTCACAGATGCTTCAAAACCCAAAGTGCACACAGCAGCACCCTGCAGCGGCACCAGCGCCCAAGCTCTCAAGCGCACACAGCAGCGGCACTCTGCAACGCGCCAGCACCCAAGCTCCCCAGCACGCCCTGCGGCGGCACCAGCGCCCAAGCTCGAGCACGCAAACACGCAGCTCTTCCTACACTGGAACAACAGCGGCACCCTTCAGCGGCACCAGCACCCACGCTCGAAAACGCACACACGCAGCTCCTTGAAGTAAGAACCCTAATAGCTCACGCTGTCTGTTGAAAAAACACGATGCAATGATGCAACAAGGTTGTTGAATCTATCACACAAGCAAGCAACGCATGGGCACAGCGCATTAACATCAGTTCGTAGAACAAATAGAACAACAACAAACATCCATAGAAAAGCCAATCCCCAAGGGCACACCATTTTGATACGACTTTCCTCCAGTTGATACGACTTAAAGCGAGGCCCCAGTAGCATTGAAAAAAAGGTTAGCTAGATCATTTGCATGTCGCATGTTCTCAAAACAGCATGGAATCATGAAACCGATGCGACTTCCCGAAGACCTTTCGACGCAAGTAACGGCAACATTTAGTGCAAACCGATGCGACTAATCTATCTCAGAGTATAGGGTGACCAAGCTGAAAGCGACTTCCAAGAGCCAACTGCTGCAGAGACCACGAGAAGGTTAACGTTCTCCAGCTCCGAAGCCAAGGATTCGCCCAAGAATGGGGCAGCTTGATCGTTTGGGAACAGCACCATAGCCGGAGATCCAATCAGACTGAACAAATCTGGACCGAGGCCAAAGGTCATAGGCGACAAACCAGCAAAACAAAATACAATATCTTCCTCATCAAAAGGATTCAAAAGGTCCCAGAAAAGGGCGTGGGGTGATTTATTGGTGCCCCCCTTCGATGGTTCGGCTATTTAAGCCTGCTGGATCTTGCTGGGGCTCCTTCTGGTTACCGGCCCTCCCCTTTCCAGGATTCCAATTCCCAGCTCTCTGTGCTCGGCCCCCTTGCCATGCCAGTGCCTGACAATGAAACGGTACTTGTCTCCCAATAGACGGCCTGAAGCTAGATCTGAGTAGGTAAGACAATATAAGACCTATAGCAGTTTTGGTTTTAGGTCTATTTTGTGCACCTGGACACAACGAAACAGGCAAAATAGCAACGATTTCCACTGCAAACTGCTCTATGAAACACATGCTTTTCCGTCGGGGCTTGCGTTCGGGCCTGAGAACCAAAAGACTCGTGCCTCCAAACAATCTACAGTAAAGGGGAAGGGCTGATTGGGCCGTACTTCCAAGAGGAGACCTAAACAAAACCCTAGTCAACGCCTCCGCTTTTAGCGAAAAACATTCAAGTCCAAGAGTACATGTTCAGGTTCATTCAGGCTCTCAGTTTTTCCGGGTGTTCTTTCCTTAGGCAGGGGTGGTTGCAACTGTCTCTGAATAGCTCTCAATCGTACCATTGCAAGTTGTAGTAGAATAGGGCTCGATTGTTGCCCCACCTCCCAGCTAATGAACAACTTCTAGATCGATTTCCGCTGTGATTGTCATCAGAAGGGGAGATGGCTGCCTGTGGGGAGGACCCCTTGCAAACCAAGTTTGCTCAAATCACAAGCACCTCCAAGAATTGAATGTGTGACTCTAATCTAAGTCTAGGTGGTTGTTCGTTAGACTCGGGTGCCCCAAATAGCGGGATTGGATGATTGGAAGAGTCAAGGTATACTGGACCTGTGATGCTCGGCTTCGGTTCTTTGCACATCCCCCATTCACTGTGGCCCCGGTCTGCCAAGCTACTGTGATCGCCCCAGGCGCTGAATGCACATGCCGGCGTGAAGAGGAGACACAGCGCCTGAAAGAATTGGGCCGAGTCTACACTGGCCAGCCCCCAAAATGCCCAAGAGGATGTTCAATGTAGAGGATTTGAGAGGCGGAATTCACTTGAAAGAAGTTGTACCTCTTCAAAGTTGTGCTCAGCCCGGATCTGACATCATTTATATACACCAGAAAAAACGTGCATAGTTCAAGTCACAAAATTGATGGAAGTTTGACCACCACCCGTGAGGTCCATATGGAAAGTTTTAATAATCAACCTTCTACCTTCTACTGACTTCTACAGTAATTACCCCCATACTCCGAAGCATGCACTCCAGAAATTTGGCTCTGGTGCTCGTGTCGTTCGGCTGGGGCATGTGAGCAGCTAGCAATTTTTATGCTCTTTGGGAACTCTTGGACACCGGATGATACCTTGAAGACTTTAAGGCCCAATGTGCCACTGCATCGCTGTGCTGCGCAGGGAAGCTTCATGAAGCTTCTACGCCCAAAAGCCCACCGATTCCACGCCCCAATTCAGCCCATACGCCATGTGAAGTCCCGATCAAATGCATCTTAACAGCAAACAACAAAACTGGAAGTCCCAAGGAACCCTCTTTGCCATCCCCCAACTTCCGCATCCGGCAGATCCATGCCCAACCGCTGGAAAAATACAGCCTGCAACGGTGGGCGCTGTTTCCTCTCAGTCAGCTCGACCCCTTCTAACAACCTCAAAGAAACAATATGAAACAATGTAGTTTCCTCAAGACATACTGTATTGCCTTCTTCATCTTTCTTCAAGGTAAGGTCTTGAGGGAGCCGAACCGCGGACACCAGATATTTAGACACACGCAGATGGGCTGGGAACCATACTCCGAC